CCCGTCCCCCTGACCAGGTGTCCCACCTTGCTGGCTCTGTCGTAGCTGTCATGCAGCTGCAGGTGCTGGCCCACCTTGCTGCTCAGGTCCACCCACTTGCCCTTGAACCACTTGACCACAGGCGGTTTCAGGAGGCTGGCCCCAGCTACTCGGGCTGAGAAGACAATGCTGCCACCTGCAAGAGAAAGGTGACTTCTCTGACCTTGGTGCTCTGGGGCTTCATTCCCCCTCCCCTGAGTATGAGCACAGAAGCCCCCACTTACCCACAGTCACCTCACCATCCTGTGGTCGCATCAGAAAGAGGCCAATAGGGTCGTCAGAGGCTCCCTGATGCCCTGTGCCTGAGCCATCCTGGGTTATTAACCCTAAGAAAGAGGACTTTTGAGGTCTGTCCTGGGACATTCTCCATCCATTGGCCTGTCCCTCGTTGTCCAGCCCCCTTTACCTTCAGGACTTGAGACACTTTCTTCCAACTCAGTGACTGGAACAGGGGCTTCTTTGGGGGCTTCTGGAGCCTCCAAAGAGGTTGGAGCAACTGCAGATTCTGCCTTCTCTGGAGGGGCTGAAGTGGGATCATGGACCAGTTTCTAATCAGAGCCCCCCTCTCGGACATCAGACCTATGTCCCACCTAAGATGCATCCCACTTGTACACAGCAGTATCCCAGGCTCTTTCAGCCACTGGCCTCGCTCCAAGAAGAGGAGCCAGCTAGCTTCTCCTCCCCTAGCCCACACTGTCCACCTGTCCCATGTCCAGATTTCTGCTTTGAACAGCTTCACAATCCATCTGCTGTCCCTTTCCAGGCTATGGCCGTGGCCCAGCACCCCCAGCACCACCACCACCACCACCAAGCTCTCAGGATTTCCCCAACACACATAGCTAGCCAAGTCCTCATCTGGGTGTGACCAGGCTCCGGGTCTGCAATGGGAGAGGACACTTCCTGCAACACCACTCACGGCTTCCCACCTTCACGATGCAGAAAGAGATGCCGCCACAACTAATGCTTAGAGAGATCTTGGTGCAGAAGTGGGGAACAGGCATTTCTGGCTTACAGCATTGCCAGGGCAAAGGCCAGTGCCTAGAGTCTATTCCCTGTTCAGGTCGGGCCCTGGGGAGAGGTGAGCAAGCTCTTACCTGGCTCTGTGACCTTGAGGTCAAACTTGACCTTTGAGGAGCCTGCAATGACTGCGTAGGAACCCTGGTCGGCAGGGCCCACATCCTGCACCGTCAGCGTGTGTCGCTTGCCCTCAGCTGCCAAACCATACTTGTCACTGGGGGCAATGTCACTGCCATCCCGCTGCCACCGCACCTTCACTCCTGAGCGCTCAGTCTCTGCCTCAAACACAGCAGCACTGCCTGCGGTCACCTCCGCTGACCTTGGCTTCTTGTTGAAGGCTGACACTGAAGAGCCAGATGGAAGTTGCAGGAGCTAGGATCCCTGGTATCCCATCCCTGACACCCTTCTTCAAGAAGTCTGTGGTAAGCACATTCCAAGCCTCTTGTTTAATGCTCCAACAGGTCTATGGGGTAGGTGCAGCCATATTTATTTCTCAAGTGATGGCAGGTTAAGTGATGGATGAAAGAGCACAGGCTGTTGTCCCCACCACCATCGAAGACGTTCCTACCCTGCTGCCTGGGAACACCAGCGGTCGGCCCAGCCTCCCCTCCCATTGCCGGACCCTTGGCAAGGGCCCCAGCACTCTGCCTACTTGGAATATGGCTAAATTTGTTCTCTGAGGCCTTCAGACTAAGAATGAACACCTGAGATAACGCTAGCCGGGAGCAGCAGGGGGCTGGGGGCCGGGGACTGGATCCCTGCCCCCATGACCTCTGCAAGGGTAAAGGCCTGGTCTAGGCCTTTGGCTACAGTTTCTCTGTCCTTTGCTTGCCCGGCTCATGGGGCAGACACTCAGAGCTGGAAAGGGTCACTACCCTACATACTCATTACACTGAGAAATTGAGACCAGAAGACGTTCAGGGACTCAGGGGGCTGGCTCCACTGCAGCCTAAATTTGAGCTCCTTGAATCGAGGACCCTGGCTGAAGAAGAAAATATAGGTCCAGATAGAATGGGATGTTGACCCTGGATTCTTCCTAACTTAATGAAGTCATCTCTCAGTGGCCCTAACACCGAGTATACCCCCAATCTCATTAGAGGAACGGGAAAAGAAACAGAGAATTAGGCAAAGCCCAGAGAACCCACAGACTTCATCCTACACCAGTTCCTAACCCTGCCCGCAAACTGGAAACACCACTGCCCAGGTCCAGACCCCAACCTCTTACGTGGAGCTACCTGGTTTCTTCCCTGGCTCAGGCATCTTGAGAACAGTCACACCAGGCACCAAGCAGGCCACCCAAGGAGGGACTGAACAGTGTCCTGTGTTCTCACTAGTTATGAGGACTACCCCCGCCCCAGCCCTCCTTATCAGCCTCCTGCTAGCCACCTGCTAAATATAGACAAATTCCATCCAGCTGAGCTATCTTCATGGAGAAGATAGGGCCGCTTGGTCCTCTGGCTTCTCCTCCCCCTCCCCCAGCAGGACTGGATAGTTTCCGCCCTTCCAATCCTCTACGGACCCCGGGGTAGCCCGACCTTTGTCTGTGTATCCATCCAGCAGAAAACTACACTGTTGAGGTACTCTTGGCCTGTGACACCCACAGCTAAAGAAAGGATCAGGGACACATGTGGTGGGGGTGAAGGTGTCCAGGGCTAGCTGCTATTGTTCTTTTGCTTAGCAGAGCTTTGACACCCATTACTGCACCACAAGGGGCAGGGGCTGGCCTTGGACCAGGGGATCCTGGGTGGGCCTGATCTAGGGCTAGGCAGGAGGGAATGATGCTGGGAGGTAGCGTCCCACTAAGGGATGAGCTAGGCGAGCCTGAAGGTGAGGGCACGGGAACAAATCTCTAAATGTACCCCAGAGGACAGGAGCAGAACTAGCTATGACTGAAGTCACGAAGACGAAAAAAGATGAATGCAGAGTATTCTGAATCCCCTCAGCTCCCGCCTCACGCCTACTGTTCTTGTTCGGTGACTGGACCCTCAATTGTATCAGGTTCATCAGTTGTTACAAGGGGAAAATAAATTATGGGAATCCTATCAGGCAATACTAGTAGAATAGATAGCTTATCACCAGAATGGACGCAGTCCATATATAAGCATTTCTCCTTCAAACAGAAACGTATCAGCTACGATTTCTACCCAATTTTAGTTACTTTAAAGTCACATCACCTGCTTCTACGTCGTGTGTGTGTGTGTGTGTGTAAGCTATTACTAGTAATCCAGGTTGGGCTCAAACCTATGACAATCCTCCTGCTTCAACCTAAGTGCTGCTATTCTAGGCATGCCCCACTCTGCTTATCTTTGAGTCTTCCAGAGCACTGGTGGGGCTGGAGCGATGGCTCAGTCGTTAAAAGCACTTGTTCTTGCAGAGAACACAGTTTCCATTCCAAGCACCCACATGGTGCCTCATAACCAACTGTAACTCCAGCTCCAGGGGACCTGCAGGCACCAGGCACACACATGGCACACATACATACATACACACAGACAAAACATTTTTTTTTTTTTATATTTTTGGTTGTGAGCCTAGCCTTTTACGGCTGAGCCATCTCTCCAGCCCCAAAACATTTTTTTTAATGTTTAAATAACTGGTGCTTAAAAGCCCCCCCCCAAAAAAAAACAAAACAGCTCAGGTTGGTAAAGGTGTCTGTTGACAAGCCTGACGACCTGAGTTCACCCCCTGGGGTCCATTGGCGGAAGGAGAGAACTGACTCCTGCAAGCTGTCTCTGACCTCCACATATATGCTGTGGCATATATACACACACTCACATACACACAGAAATAAATTAATTAAAACATAATAAAAAGGGCTGGAGAGATGGCTCAGCAGTTAAGAGCACCAGCTGTTCTTCCAGAGGTCCTGAGTTCAATTCCCAGCAACCACACGGTGGCTCACAACCATCTGTAATGGAATCTGATGCCCTCTTCTGGTGTGTGTCTGAAGACAGCTACAGTGTACTCATATAAATAAAAATAAATAATATTAAAAACGTAATAAAAATATTTTTTAAAAACTGCTGCTCTACCACCAAGCTGTCATCAGCTCATAACCCATAGCCTTTTCCTGAGACTCAGAAATCTGACCAGGGAACATCAGCGTGGGCTATGACGGACCCACATGTCCAGGAGGTGTGCAGGGGTCTTTCCCATACAGTGACATCCCTAGAGTTTGTGTTTCCTGAGGTGTGCAGACATTGGGAAACGTCCTCACTCCTGTCTGCTACATTCTGTCTACACCACCTGGATAAAGCAAGATGTTTACAGACGTCCCTTGTCTGTGGACCCTAGGAGCAAAGTGCTTTGAAGGGAAGGCTGTGCCTGTGGAGTCTCCGTTAAGAATGCTTTGTGACCAGGCTAGAGAGAGGTGCAGTCGGCAAAGGCGAGGCTCACAATCAAACCATCCAGAATGCTGTGTGGCGCCTGGAGCTTTGGACTTAACTTCTGCAGAAGCGTTTCCTCTTTCAGATAAGTGGAGCTTCTACCCGGCCCTGACGTGATAGACAGGCCTGGAGTGGGCCCAGCTGTGCGACACTGAACCAATTATTTAACTACTATGAGCTTCAGTTTCCCATTCTATAAAATGGGGAGGTGTTAGGCTCCTCATCTCAAAGATGCTAAATGATCAGAATTCCTGTGCTTATTGCTATGGCCATCACCACCATCACCATTGGATCATGTCTAACTCAGAAGATTATGAGTTCCAGCTTCACTGAGACTTAAGCCTTCCTGGCCCCGAGGGCCTTTCAGTATGAGCCCTACACCCTGATATCAACCCAAGACTTGTTTCACTAGAAACAACAACACTGTGTGTCCATGGTCCCTATGTCCTTAGGGTCCAGCTTTGGAAACATGTTCGCTGGACAAATAAGAAAGACATTAATGCATACGGGGTGCCCCCTGGACCTGACACACACAAACTCTTGAATGAGACTCTTCGCTGGGAGAATAGCTGACAATAAGTTTACTTGTCTTCAGAGGCTAAAGGGTGGGAGAGGTGGGAAAAGGAAGAGCTTTCAAAAAAGCATTCAATATACAAAAAGGTGCCAACGCCAGACTCCCAAGCACCGTGGCCACTAAGCCAGGCTGACCCTCGGGTGAAGTCCGAGGTCCAGGCGGCCCTTGGACCGGGCAAGAGTCCTGGTGGGAGGCGAAGCGGGCGGGGCGGGCCAGCCCGGGCATGGGAGGGCGAGGCCGGGCCCCCAGTCCTGCCTCGGCCCTGGGAATGTCCTCCCTGTGTCCGGGCCGGGCGACAGGTTAATGCTATGGCCGGCGGGGGCCGGGAGCCTGGCGGGCTCTGCGGGTGATCAGTGGGGCGGGAGGCGCCGCTCGGCCAGGCCCCCGCGGCCCAGCACCTCGCCGCTGAACTGGTAGGTGAGCTTCTTCTTGACTTTCTTCACCTCGCCCGTCTTGCCGTAGTTGCGCAGCGCGCGCGCCATCTTCTGGTAGGTCATCTTCTTGCGGTTGCCCTTCTGGATGCCCCAGCGGTGCGCCAGCGCCTCCTTGTGCTTGGACGAGAACTGGAAGGTACCTTTGTCCTTGTCCACCCACCAGATGCTGTCCTTCATGTCGCCGCTGCGCAACAGGTCCAGCAGGAACTGGTACAGGCGAATCTTCTTCTTGCTGCCTGTGGGAGATCGGCAACCAAGTGGGGTGTGGACAGGATGCAAGGACTTTGCGGGGACCCTCCCAACAGCTCCTCCCGGCCATGGTAGGTACAAGCACATACGTGACCACTCCCACTCATGTGCACACCCTTGTATGTATACAAGTCCTCATACCTACATGTTACATGTATCCATACATATATCCATATCCGCTCTCACATAGCTACATGCCTATCTACAGGTCCTCTCACAGGCTTTCACATGCAGGCACTCATACACAAGACCTAACACACTCACAGGCCCTCACACACTCATGGGCCCACGCACACTCACAGGTACTCACACACATGACCTTACACACTCATAGGCCCACACACACTCACAGGTACTCACACACATGACCTCACACACTCACAATTACACACATGACCTTACACACTCATAGGCCCCCACACACTCATGGGTGCTCACACACATGATCTTACACACTCATAGGCCCACACGCACTCATAGACACACACACACTCACAGGATGTTACACACACCCACAGGCCCTCACACACTCATAGGCCTTTTACATTCACAAGTACTCACATATATGACCTCATATGCTCACAGGCCCTTACATGCTTACAAGCCCTACACTCACAGTGCTGTACACACTCAGGCCTTTGCATATACACATAGAGTCTCCCATTCACACACTCACACAATTCTGATGCACACACACAGACCCTCACGCACTTTGAAGAGATACCCTTCACTCACAACACAAACAGACTTAGAGACCTGTACAGGTAGAGCAGCATCCACAAACATGCAGGTGCACGCGGGTACACACCACACACACACACACACACACTTCTGGAACAAAGCTGCTAGGTCAGTTGGCCTCGGCTAGGAATATGCAAGGTCCATAAATGTAAATGCAGCTGGCCCTGGGCCTGGACCCTACCTGTCTCCCCGTGCAGAAGGCCTGGCCCAGGCTCCAAGCCATCAGCTTCTCCATCAGACACCTCTAGTGGAGGACTCTGCCTCTCACCCTCCTCCTCATCTGAGCTCTGCTGGTGGGCTGGGGACGAGGGTGGATAAGGGAAGCACATCCGGGGCATGTAGGAAACCTGCAAAGGAAAGGAAGGGTGTGAAGTCAATAAGGGGTAGCCCAGGGCTATAGGAGGGGTCAGCAGGCATGAGGACTGAGAAGGGAAAACTAGGGGCCAGTCTGGACCAAGACTCAGGAGTGCAGGTCACGGTACAGTGAGTTGCTAGTGATTGAGTCTACCTTCCCACTGTGGCCTCCGGTTTAGGGCAGATGAAGGTATGCTTTACCTTCATGCATGCAAAGGGGTCGTGTGGCCTGGGAGTGGACTCGGGATAGAGGGGAGGTTCTGGGGAGCAATGAGCTGGGGCTTACTACGGAAGTGAGTGAGCCTTAATAAGGGGGAGATGAGCCAATGAAAGAGCAGCAGAGGCCAGTGAGCGATCGCAAAGATCAATGGTTGGAGTTAGGGTCCCTGGAGCAGATAACGGTCAGCAATGAAGATCAGTAGAGAGCCAGGGAGTCAGTAGAGGCTAGCATTTAGTGACTCAGATTCTGGGCATGTGAAGAGACAGTAAAGGGGGGCTGTAGTCAGTGGGACCCTGGGGGCCACAAACAGGAATGGGGTGGGAGAAGATGGCTGAGGGCTAGTGGATCATATGGGGTCTGTCCAGCCTCTGTGAGATAAAGGTGTGGGTTCCTAAGGTCAGGCGTGAGGTCAGCACAGCCGTTAGTGTACCAGCTGCCGTTGGCCCTGTAGAGCAGGAAGCCACGTTGAGTAAGAGCCTATGTCAGCTTCCTGTGAAGGTTCCATGCCTCACCACAGGCCTGGAGGTCTGGGGGACGGGGATGGAGGACAGCCAGCAGCACGCACCTGGTGATTGAGGCCGGCATGGGGTGGTGCCACGGGGGTATCGAGGACGTGCAACTGCTCCAGCTCCATGTGACGGTAGAGCTGCTGTAACTGCGGGGGCTGCACGCTCTGCAGCTCCGTGAAGTGGTTGTCAGGGAAAGTCTCAAACTCATTGTGTACATGGTGTGCAGAGAAATCCCAGTAATGATCTGTGGAGAAACCCAGGGAGGAGGGCATGAGCCATGGTGCCAGGGCAGGGAGAGGATACAATATCACAAAATAGTCATTCAGGCTGGGACATTAGTCATCTCCTGTGATGTCCACTTACTCCACTGCTGCTTTATAGAAAGGACTCTGAGGCTTAGAGGGGTTTCCTGACATGCCTATATAAAAGCCCCTAACAACAGTCATGCCTGGAGCTGTTATCAGTAATCATCCTAGATTCTGCTTCCTGACTGGGCCCAGAGACACAGGCTTCTGAGTCCTAATCTGAATCCTGGCTTTGCCATTTATTGGCTGTGTGACCTCAGCACAGGTCTAGGCCTCTCTGGCCTCAGCAGACCCACCTACAAACTAGGTAGAATTGCCATTAGGAGAACACACATAAGCTCACATTCTAGACTCACAACAGGCCATGGAAAACTGATTGCTTTTCCTGCTTCTGTGACCTTCCACAGGCTTCTGACTACCTAAAGTCACAAGCATGGGTCCTTGTCACATGATCAGGGTATGATTGCAAAGTCATGGGGTTGACATTTCTCACAAACCAGAATTTGTCCAAACCTATAGCACTGCTTCTGTAAAACCATGGGCAGGGGCAGCCACACCCAGGTTCCCAGGAGGCTGAAGGAAAGAGATTTCCCCAGAAAGCCCCCGTGGGTGTCTGGTGTCTGTGGAAGGGTGGACCCAACTCCAGGAAGCAGCCACATAGCCCTGGGAAGATCTGTGATGTGGTTTCTCCCTGCACTTTTTCCAGGAACAAAAGTTGCTGCCTTTTGAGGGACTTTTGGGCATAATTTGGGGTCCAAAAGAAAGTATGGCGCGGAGCTAGGGATGGCTCAGCTGGTAAAAGCTCTCACCACTAAGCCTGACGACCTGAGTTCAGCATGCTGTCACACACAAGCACATACACGCATATATAAATAAATAAATAAATAAATAAATAAATAAATAAATAAATAAATTTAAGAAGAAGAAAAAAAATGAAAATGAAAGAGAGTGATTCCTAGGCTGGAGAGATGGCTTAGTGGTTAAGAGCACCGACTGCTCTTCCAGAGTCCTGAGTTCAATTCCCAGCAACCACATAGTGGCTCACAACCATCTGTAATAGGAACTGATGCCCTCTTCTGGTGTGTCTGAAGAGAGCTACAGTGCTCTCATATATATAAAATAAATAATTAAATGAGAGAGAGAGAGAGAGAGAGAGAGAGAGAGAGAGAGAGAGAGAGAGAGAGA